CAGATAAATCTCCCCAGACTTATCCAATGACTGTGAACATTCTAAACTAACACGAGTCTCATAAGTGTCCAGTTTAAGGGTATTACACAGAAACACACCACTATAACATGAATCAAATATGTACTTTATTCATTTACAATAGATGTCATAATGTACATCAACCTGATTGGAGCTAAGGGCATACACTGTCTAACAACTCCCACTTGCACTTAGGTCCAATTTGGTATAAGCCAGAGTCCCAAACTTTCCACGTGTTTCTCAAACACTTTCTATGTCAGTGGCTTAGTCAATGGGTCTGCCACACCTTTTAACATCAACTTCCCATAGATCCAATGTTGTCATCCAACAATGGAATGGGTGATGTGCTGAATTCCAAATTTAGGAATGAACACCTTCATTCAATAGGCAGCCTCACTTACGGTAATGTGTTCAGCTTGGGTTTTGGACTGTTATTTTCGCTACTTAGGACCCCTATTTACTGACTTTCAGGAAACAGCACACGATCCTATCGTGAAAACATACCCAGATGTCGACTTTCTATCATTTGGAAACGATTGGAAATCGGCATCAGTATACCCCTGGATCTGTAGTGAGCTACCATCGAATACTAGACAAAACTCTTTTGTCCTTCGAAGGTACTTAAGTATATTTTTCACAGCGGTCCAGTGCTCCTGCCCTGGGTTGGCCTGGAATCTGCTTACCACACTCACTGTGTGAGCAATGTCTGGATGAGTGCACAGCATGGCATACATGATGCTCCCTACGACTAAGGCATAGGGAATGTCCTTCATGCCCTCAATCTCCTCAGAAGTCTTGGGAGACATCCTCTTGGAGAGAGTGACTCCGTGCCTAAAAGGAACATTTCCCTTCTTGGAGTTCTCCATGCTGTGTCTCTTGACTATTTTGTCAATGTAAGCAGATTGGGATAATCCTATTATCCACTTCGATCTATCTCTATAGAGTTGAAGACCCAGTATATAGGAGGCTTCTCCAAGATCTTTCATGGAAAATTGCTGTGAAAGCCATACTTTCACTGTAGTCAACATTCCTACAACATTCCCAATGAGTAGAATGTCGTCTACATACAGAACCAAGAACATAACCTTATCCTCACTAGACTTTCTATCAACACAGGGCTCATTTGGATTCTGCTCAAAGTCAAACTTTTTGACAGTAGAGTCAAACTGGATGTTCCAACTCCTAGAAGCTTGCTTAAGTCCATATATGGATCTATTTAATTTACATACCATGTATTCTTGACCCGCAGCTATGAAACCTTGCNTCCAACTCCTAGAAGCTTGCTTAAGTCCATATATGGATCTATTTAATTTACATACCATGTATTCTTGACCCGCAGCTATGAAACCTTGCGGTTAATGAAGGGATGAGAGATCCATCCTATGGACGCCCAAAAGATTGCGGAATAAGGGGCGAATTTCAAAAATTTTATCTCTCTCTTCAACTGGGAATCGTATTCCCTTCAACTGCGAATTTCAAAAATTTTATCTCTCCCTTCAAAAATTTTC